AGAAGAGAGAGAGATTAAGAGAGAGAAGAGAGAGAAGAGAGATAGAGAAGAGATGAGAAGAGAGAGATAGATATGAGAGAAGAGAGAAGAGAGAGAGAAGAGAGAGAGGAGAGATAGAAGAGAGAGAATAGAGAAGAGAGAGAGAGATGAAGATAGAGAGAAGAGAAGAGAGAGAGATGAAGAGAGAGAGAGATGAAGGAGAGAGGGAGAGAGGAGAGAGAGGAGAGAAGAGAAGAGAGAGAATAGAGCAATAGAGAGAGAAGAGAGAAGAGATGGAGAAGAGAAGAAGAGAGAAGAAGAGAGAGAGAGAGAGAGAGAAGAGATAGAGAGAAGAGAGAGAGAAGAGAGAGAGAAGAGATGAGAGAGAGAGAGAAGAGAGAAGGAGAGAGAGAAGAGAGAGAGAAGAGAGAGAGGAGAGATAGAGAGAGAGAGAGAGAGAAGATAGAGAGAGAAGAGAGATAGAAGAGATAGAGAGAGAGAAGAGAGAGAGAAGAAGAGAGAGAGAGAGAAGAGAGAGAGAAGAGAGAAGAGAAGAGAGAAGAGAGAGAGAAGAGAAGAGAGAGAGAGAAGAGAGAGAGAAGAGAGAGAGAAGAGAAGAGAGAAGAGAGAGAGAAGAAGAAGAGAGAGAAGAGAGAAGAGAGAGAAGAGAGAAGAAGAGAGAGAGAGAAGAGAGAGAGAAGAGAGAGAAGAGAGAAGAGAGAGAGAAGAGAGAAGAGAGAAGAGAAGAGAGAGAGAAGAAGAGAGAGAGAGAGAAGAAGAGAAGAGAGAAGAGAGAAGAGAGAGAAGAGAAGATAGAGAGAGAAGAGAGAGAAGAAGAGAGAGAGAAGAGAGAAGAGAGAGAAGAAGAGAGAGAGAAGAGAGAGAAGAGAGAGAGAGAGAAGAGAAGAGAGAGAGAGAGAAGAGAAGAAGAGAGATAGAGAGAAGAGAGAGAGAAGAGAGAGAAGAAGAGAGATAGAGAGAGAGAAGAGAGAGAAGAAGAGAGAGAAGAAGAGAGAAGAGAGAAGAGAGAGAAGAGAGAGAGATAGAAGAGAGAGAAGAGAAGAAGAGAGAGGAGAAGAGAGAAGAGAAGAGAGAAGAGAGAAGAGAGAGAGAAGAGAGAGAAGAGAGAGAGAAGAGAGAGAGAGAAGAGAGAAGAGAAGAGAGAGAGAAGAGAGAAGAGAAGAGAGAGAGAGAAGAAGAGAGAGAAGAGAGAAGAGAAGAGAGAGAGAAGAGAGAAGAGAGAAGAGAAGAGAAGAGAGAAGAGAGAAGAGAAGAGAGAGAGAGAAGAGAGAGAGAGAGAGAAGAGAGAGAGAAGAGAAAGAGAGAGAGAGAAGAGAGAAGAGAAGAGAGAGAGAGAGAAGAGAGAGAGAGAAGAGAGAGAAGAGAGAGAAGAGAGAGAGAAGAGAGAAGAAGAGAAGAGAGAGAGAGAAGAGAGAGAGAAGAGAGAAGAGAGAGAAGAGAGAGAGAAGAGAAGAGAGAGAGAGAAGAGAAGAAGAGAGAAGAGAGAGAAGAGAGAAGTAGAGAGAGAGAGAGAAGAGAGAGAAAGATAGAGATAGAAGAGAGAAGAGAGAAGAGAGAGAGAAGAGATTCGAGAGATAGAGAGAGAGAGAAGAGACAGAGAGAGCGAAGAGAGAAGAGAAGAGAGAGAAGAGAGAAGGAGAGATAGAGAGGAGAGAAGAGAAGAGCTCGAGAAGAATCTAGAAGAGATTATGAGAAGAGAGAGAAGAGAGAGAAGAGAGAGAGAAGAGAGAGAAGAGAGAGAGATAGAAGAGAGAAGAGAGAGAGCGAGAGAAGAGATAGAGAGAGAGAAGAGAGAAGAGAGAGAGATAGAGCTAGAGAGAGAGAGAGAGAAGAGAGAGATAGAGAGAGGAGAGATATAGAGAGAGAGAAGAGAGAGAGAGAAGAGATAGATAGAGAGATAGAAGAGAGAGAGAGATAGAGAGATAGAGATCGAGAAGAGATAGAGAGAGAAGATTGAGAGAGAGATAGAAAAGAGAGAAGAAGAGAGAGAGAGAGAGAGGATAGAGAGAGAAGATAGAGAGAGAGATAGAGAGATAGATAGAGAGATAGATAGAGAGATAGAGAGAGAGAGAGATAGATAGAGAGAGAGAGAGAGATAGATAGAGAGAGAGAGATAGATAGAGAGATAGAAAAGATAGATAGAGAGAGAGATAGATAGAGAGAGAGAGAGATAGATAGAGAGAGAGAGAGAGAGATAGAGAGAGATAGAGAGATAGATAGAGAGAGAGATAGATAGAGAGATATAGAGAGAGATAGAGAGATAGATAGAGAGATAGATAGATAGATAGAGAGATAGATAGAGAGATAGATAGAGAGAGAGAGATAGAGAGATAGATAGAGAGAGAGAGAGAGATAGATAGAGAGAGAGATAGAGATAGAGAGAGAGATAGAGAGATAGAGAGATAGATAGAGAGAGAGATAGAGAGAGATAGAGAGAGAGATAGAGAGATAGATAGAGAGATAGATAGAGAGATAGAGAGAGAGATAGAGAGAGAGATAG